AGGCATACCCTTTCGATTTTTTAGAAAATTATTTTTATTTAAAAATCTACATACATATAGAATGCAAGATCCGAAACTCAAAAAAATACTTTTGACGTTTAAAAGAAGCCTTTCGATGCAAGTGATTGCTACTTTTGCACGACAAAAGTTGGGACTGCGGGCCGAAATTTCTTATTCTTCTGTATCAAGTGTGCAACAACCAGTTGCAAAGTTTATAGAAGGTTCAGAAGATGATACGTCAAAAGACAGCCTGACCAGTGGATTCGATACAATGGAAGTCGACGTCGATCCTGAGAATGTAGCTATTAATGACGAAGACTCTGTTACTGGCAGTGAATCCGATTTCAGTGAACCTGATGAAAAAGTTCCTTCGAGCAGTGATGAAGAGTACAGGCCGATCGGTGAAGAGAAAAAGCCAGAAAAATATGACCAAAAACATCTAAATGATTTATTTAGAGAAGCTTAACTCTCGAAATATTGGCTTCGAGTATGAAAAGGAGAAATCTTTTGACAAAAGGTACCAACGTTTCATTTTATCGGAATCAAGAGGAAGCTTTCCGTAAATATTTTGAAAATTCAATTTATTCAAATTCAAATAGTAATAAAGTACAAATAATAATAATAATATTTTAAGATTAATATAGATTTACAAAAAATCTAGAATTAGCAACAAGCCTAAGCAAAAGCTGCCTGTGTTGCTTGTGCTGATTCTAAAAGATTTGAAATAAAACGTACATTTTATATTTTAGTGCCTAAGTAGGTATAAAAATAAGTAGGATACAAATTTTTTTTAGATTGAGTACATATGCAGAGCGAAGCAGACGAGGGTTATCCAGGAGTTATTCCAACATTTAATACAAATAGTTAACAACAAATTTCAATTTTAAATCAGGTATAGCTTACAACATTATAGCAGTAAATGTGATTTGGTTATCTATTATATATTTTGTTTGAATATAGATAGTTTACTTTTTTGTTTGAGATGTATGGGGATTAGATTGTAGAACTTGGGACCAAAGTAAAAGAAGGATCTTTGGGTTAGAGATTTTTTAAAAAGTTGAGTAGAAAGGTCCATATTTGTAGTAGAGCGAGTCAATCGAGTTTGTTTATATTGAAATAGTTCAGGGCTATTATATACTTTTATGATACATTGGTAGATAAAGAGTGATTTAATGTTGAGGATTTCGTTTTCATTATATAATCGTATGGTAGTGAATAATTTACTTTTAATATTATTTTCAAAATTGTGTTTTGTGTTACTTGCAGAGTATTAAGTGTAGTGTTAAAAGCCCCTTTCCATGCCGTAATACAGTATCTTAAAACAGATTCCACTAATGAAGAATATGTCATGATTATTTTTGTCTTAGAGAGAATATCGCGAAGTACATAAAATGTATGCATTAGAGCCCTTATTCGATTACTAACATGAGTGATATGCTCTGTCCAACGTATATATTGGTCTAGTATAACACCTAAATATTTTATGGAAGCGACTTTTTCAATAGTGGGACATATGCAATTGTTTAGCTCGCAGTTTGGGCTGTGTAGTTTAATCGGTAAGTTAATTGGCTGATTTGTAGCAGTCGGGCTGAAAGCAATAAATTTTGTTTTTTTAATATTTAATGTTAGTTTGTTATAGTTTAACCATAGTGTCACCTTAGTTAATGTAGCTTCTGTTTTGCGATATACGTCTTCCCACGTTTTTCCGGTGAAAATTATGGCT